TGTGGGTTGCAAACATTTACTTTAAATTAAGCAGCTTGGATGAAAGTACACAGACCTTACAATGCGTCATGGTCACAGATGTGACATCTTTCTCCCCTCCGTACTTTGCACTCCACTTCTTCTGTTTGAACCTGCTATTTCCAGTTGTCCTACATATCAGAGGAGTGGTGTGTTTCAGTAATTGTTTGACATCCCTTTATACATTTCCCCTTACGTAGCACTATGTCATGTTAGAGGACATCAGAATCAGAATCAGAATCAAAAGAATGTTGCCATGTGAAGAGGATTGAAAATACACTTGCCCTTGAGCAGGCTTCTTAATTGAGAATCATGAATAATAAAAACAAGCAGATGAGATACTTGGACATGGTGCACGGGGAATTATAGAAGATCACAATGCATTCTGTGTAACATGTTGGGTGTTCACTGGTTCCTTCAGCCTTGATGAGCCTGTCCAGCTGAAATCCATTTGAGTTTGTAGTGAAACATCAGATGGCGATGGGGATTGCCATCAACTGTCTACTAATCGCCCTCAGCAAGTTTCCCACTCTGCCAGTCACCTGATCCCATCTCCTGTCTGTTCACCTGTTCCCCATTGGCCATTCTGTGCCTCCTCTCAGGGGCTGGATGGGAGTTTTGAATGAATAGATGATCATAATGAGGAGACACAGAATGAATACAAAAACACCTCCAACTGTGGTTGCAAAAGCAGACTTTTTTTTGCCAGAATCTGGAGGTTGTACTCTGGATGAACCCTTTGCAGGATATAGTATCCCACAATCCATTGTGTTGTAGTCCATACTTTGTCAACAGCCTCGTCAACAAGTTGGGAAATATCTCATGACCATGTTGTATATCACATGAATTGGACCAAGGAAAATTCCAGGGTGTAAATAATTGAAACTATCAACTCAACTTGTTGTTCTCATCAGCCTCTTCTCATGTTGTTGATCAAAGGGACAAGATGTTTACAGATAAATAAAAGTTACTCAAGGATACAGCACTACATGCATCGTATGTCAGATGTCTAAAAAAGCTTTAGAGGTGCAGCTAGGAGGATTGTGTTACCTTTAGACAGAACCAGGCTAGTTGTTTTCCCCTGTTTCCAGTTTCTTTATGCTAAGATAAGCTAACCAGTTGCTAGCCACTACTATATATTTATTACAAATAGGAAAGTGGTATCAATCTTCTCATCTAACTATGTGTAGGAATAGCATGGTCTAAGTTGCTTTATTAGCCATTGTTCTACAAACACATTTCCCCCCGGGGATCAATAAAGTATTTCTGATTGTGATTCATCCCGATCTTTTTACAAGCCTTCCTTTGGCTGCTCTTTAAAATTACCTCTCTACTTGCCCTGTCACTTGGTGGGTTTGGTTGCCTGATTTCACTGCCCAATAGCTTCTGACAGTAAGTTTACTATATTCTGACTGCTTGAAATGCATATCTTGTATGTCTCATGACTCTACAACAGTCTACACACTGTGTATGAAAATAATAATCAAATGATTAGCACAACTGCAGACTTCATCCTCAGTCTCAGACTGTTGAAACTACTGTTTCAATAATAACTTTAGTTTGTCAGAATGGCTTTCAGACATATTCCCTAAATGGTGAATGAGTGTGTACAGTACGTTGGCTCCCAGTGTCCATTAAGTACCACATAGTTTGATAAACACAGGCCATCTCACTGTTTTACGGCTTAAGAGCACCATCTAAATTACCTTACATTTACATCTTAAGGTTCTTTATCTGTTTACATTGGCGAATGTAAACCCTTAGGACACAGAATAGATTGATATTTTATACAGTAAAATAAAAGTAGTCCTGATACTGTATATTCTATTTTCAAATATATATTGACTTTTCTACAACTTTCATTTCCTAAAATCAATGCACTTTTTTTTTTAAACAAACACGCTGATTCCTATAGCACCACAGAATATTCACACTGGGAGCCACCCAGTAAAGGAAATGACATCTGAAAGTCCTTCTGACGTAAGCAATGACAGCAGATGCTTGTGTCTACGTGGTTCCTTGAAAAAGAGGCGGGGTACCATCTCTGTCTGCGTTTTCTCTGCCTACGCTCTCGACACTGTGATGACAGGAGTTGAATACGCCCTGTCCTTCCAATCACCATCTGAGACACCTGAGGAAAAGGGATTTGTTTAAGTAGCCTATGGGGTATATTTAAGAAGCGTGTAAGTTATGACCTCCACTCCCTAATCATTAGGCAAACCACCAATATTAACAAATGTAGTCATATTCAAAGAAAAACTTTCATTTGTGTTCTTACTTTGAAGTGATTTCTATGAAATACACTCTAAATGCATCTTATAAAGAATTACAGTATGTAAAGGTTAAACAAGTGGAAAACTCAACTCTACAAGGAGTTTAGTATTTATTTATTTTTTTTAAACAGCCAGTTATTGTCTCTGGTATCCACACATTACAATTCAGTGCTGCTACATCTTGCAGCAGAGTGCCCTCCAGTGGTCTCAACTGCTCCACTGATCTGATCCCAGCAGCGGGCTGTGAAAGATGCAGATTTTCTCTGATTTCTTTTTCAGTGGACAAGACTGGAACTGATTTTCACCTGGATTTTACTTTGTGTTCCCACACATCAAAGAATGGCTGTTTCCTGCACCTAGAAGACTTATAAACTGCAATTAACAGTAAACATGGTATCTCTTGTGGTGTGGTTATATTTGGCTTCCAATATGATAAAAAAAAAATGCCCCAAAGTCCCTCAACGTACACATGTAACTGTTAAACTACTGTTAAAATACAAAATCTACACAATAAGTATTGATGAAATTAATTAGATATTTTGGTTAAGACAAAATATTTTGGAGAGCTAATTTCCTCTGAAAAGGGAATGAGTGAAAAGACCAGTTCCTCTTTGTGGTCTGTGGAGGCTGGTTTAAATATTCCCTATATAGACTTGGGTGAGGTCCTGTTTGGTGAATACTGACGGCCCATTCGTCACGACAAAATAAAGTTAAAGAGTTACACTTTGAAGAAACAAGTGTTACATGGTATGCGTCTTTCATTCTGTGCATGCAGGGACTAGAATAAGTGGGTGGTAAAAATTATTTAATCTGTAATACTGACAAGATAAGATATACTTATAAAATAGGTAATTTATTCCATTCAGGCAGTTCAGTTTAAATGCATATTTAAATGTGTGTGGGGCCTTTAGTCTCTAAGACACAGCACAAAACTGCAGCCACTTGCTCACAGGATACTGTCTAATATTAGACAACATAGCGCCTTATATTATATTGTTGTATAATAATAGACAATATTATCACACAGGTAGTGAACAGCTTACCACTGGCAGTAGCTCACTGTGTAGGGACTTGGCTTGGGAACCGGAGGGTTGCCGGTTCAAGTGCCACAGACCAAAAAGTGTGGACTGGTAGCTGGAGAGGTGCCAGTTTCACCTCCTGTACACTGCCGAGGTTTCCTTGAGCAAGGCAACCTAACCCCAAAACCTGCTCATGGGGCGCTGGTAACGTTGCAGCCCCCTCACTCCACCATCTCTCTCCCCTTTGCATGTCCACAAGTGCATGAAGTGTGCATTTCAGCCTGTGTGTGTGTATATAAAAAAACACAAGAACAATTTCCCCTAGGGTATTAATAAAGTATATCTTCTCTTTCTTCTTCTTGTGTAGCAGAATAATATTGTCAGTACCACCAGTGCTCAGCAGGTGTCAGACATCTCCCAGACACACTGTCAATGGTCACAGCACATTATAGAGACTGACAACAATCCTTTGTTTCATTGAAGGATGTGTCACTACTTCCGGTACGAGTTTTTCAGAATAATAGCTGATTCCAAACATATAAAAATATCGAACTGCTTTTGTATTTTTGTGTCCTTTCTTTATAAGAGTCATTGTTTTTTTTTTTTTAATCAAACAATAGTAAATGTTATTAGCTGCAATTTTAGATTAGAAGTTTTTAAAATAAAGGAGCTTGTCAGTGATGAAGCAGTGAATACCAATAAATGTTCGTCTGTTTGTCTGTAATAAAGAAAACGTAATCTTGATTAATATTTGGGAGTTTTTTATGTGGCACTTTGGTTAAATATGATAATTTGCACAATGTCACTACAAATAAAATATCCACCACCACATTTGCCATGGACTCATCATGATGAGTTAATTCACACTGAACAAATACTCAAACCTAAGTGATGCAATGTGACTAATTCGCCAGGGTTTATTTTGAAAACCACAGCAGGAAGTGTGACGTTTATTGTGTTCAGTTTTACGGTGGCCAGCGGAAGTGTCGCGTGACTGACTGGGGTCTTGAACACATCTGGTAACAAACGCCTTTTTCCATATATTTAATCTAAAGTAAGGGTAGTGTAAGTTGTCATTTAGTTAATTTCTCGCGGGTAGCGTGTTAAATTATGAACGTATTTCTGACTAACGGAGGCTGAGCGGCACTTTTACCTGCTAACTGACGTTAACGGTCCCCGGCTGGGCTGTCGACACTGCTCTGACCAACCTAACAACCCCGCAGCGTGTGGATTAAAGTTGTAACCACACACGAATAATGTGCTATAAACACGTTCAACAGACAATTTCAACAAAGTCCAACAAAGGATTCGTGTGTTTATATTGAAAATCAACCTGTAACGTTAATATCGATATATTAATATTCGCTTTAGAAGTTAAACTAATGTGGTTGAAGAAGTGAGGCGACTGTGTGCGCTATGAATCTGAGCTCACTAGCGGTGTTTTGGCGTCTCTTGCCTACGTTGTCCTTTGACGATAATTTAAAGACACTTTTAACTGTGAACGGTGTATGAACAGAAATTGACGGTCAACGCTAACGTACTAACGTTATTCTAGTCGGCGTTTGGCTTACGTTAGCGGCACGGAAGCTCGTCTCAAAAGTTACCGAGCTGAGTATCTTCTAGTTTGACAGACTGAGTTTTACTCGTGCGCTTTTAATTTGAAGGGGTACTACTCAGGCGGAAGGGCGGATGCTGCTCGCTGTTTGTAACTCGACACAGAGGGAGGACATAGTGGATTCCGCTGGGAAGCTGTAGATCATCGCCAGGCGGTTCTTTGGTGATCTCTCTCGGTTGTACGTGTAGGTTAGCGGTACCACCCCTGGGATGAATCCACCAAGGTATGTAGCTCGAAGGTGGGGTAGTGTCTGTGGATGTTATGCGGTCAAAAGGTGGGACATGGCCAAAACTTGCTCCCTTCCTACCGCGGCTGCCCCTTCGGTTTGCCTGGCAAATTAGCTGGCTAGCCCGTTTTTTGCCTTGCAGATAGCATATGTTTGCTCAGTCACATCCACCAGCTGCTGTAATATCCTACTTTATTTACATTTCTCCCTTCCCTTCCAGCCTCAGCGCCTCTGTGGATCTAAATTAGCCTGGAATATGAGCAGAAGAAGAAGATAAGCAGCGGCGGCGGCTGGCTTCCTGCGGGATTTTGCCCAGGCTTTTTGTTTTTCCGTGGACATGCCTGGTCTATGGAGGAAAGCTGAGCGAAGCTAGCTGGCCGACTGTCCGGCTAGCGCAACATTTCCAGGCTTTTGGATGACTGTTTAGCTGAAGGGCTGATTTATTTTGGATCAGCGCTACCTCCCCTCCCTGGGTAAGGAGTCAGCATGGGGGAGCCCAGCCTGGACGACGCCAATGTCAAGGTGGCTGTCCGTCTACGGCCCATGAACAGGAGAGGTGAGAGGGCTCCAGTCTGCTCAGATATTGATGCACTGATTCTCTAATGAATGTTTTCCACTGATCTGTCTACTTTAGCTGAATTTCAGGGTAACATCATGGATACATAGAGGCTGCATTGACTGATTGTCAGATTATTGTTATGAATACACTAAAATCAGATGTTAGTCATAGACAATCACAGGCTTATATGATGGACATACTACCTCAGCTTAACTATAAACAAGCTGCATTTCACAGTAACACTATCCACAGGAGACTCAAGTACTGCCAGTTTAATTTCCTGGGAATGGGGTGCCAGTCAGAAATCACCACCCATTAGTGAAATGAGCTCCTGCAGATTAAAGAAAGCTCTAGTCTGGATGGCACATGTTTCTACTGTGCTGCCACAGGGCTTCCCTCGTGGCTGCCTGCCATCCAACTAGATTTAAAGCCGAGCTGCTGTGTGAGATCTACTGTTAGAAAGTCTAGACGCTTTGTCTCCTTCGCTGGCTGATACAGATGCCAATAGCTTTGTGACTTCATCTGTCACTTGCTGCAACAGTGGGGCAAGTTAGTCAGTTGACCGTACAGCTATGGGTTGCCATGATGTAATGAGAACAACAGCAGTATGTCAGGAACACTCCTCTGAGGGGCATCAGTGCATGCGTGTACAAAGTTATCATTTACTAGAAATTAAGTTTCACAGTGATAATGTGCTTTCATTATCATCATTAGGCCAATGCTCATGTATCGTCAGTCCAGCAGTCTTCCCTGGGCTGCAACATGTCTACATAACTTACATCCTCATCTCTAATTTTAGAAAAGCCCAGCAAACAAAGGCACAGTGTTACACAAATCTGTGTTCAGATTCTCTGTTCAATTATGTTGCAAATTTTCAGCGCTGCATGCAGAGAGGCACAGATGACATTTCCTGGTCGATTGCCAGGTCGTGTTTTTGCCGTGGGAGACCATGTGTCCCATGAAAGGAGGAGGAGGAGAGCTGCTGAGGCAGAGTGGTTGACCGACAAGTGGCAGAAAATAATCACGTGTATCCCCTCTCTCTCACCCCCTCTGAGCTGGAGAAGTTGGTCACAAGACCAAGGCAGTGGATTGCCACGCTCTTCCCATAGGCAGGGATTTATTATGAACTTTAATGTAGAGAAACTCAGCAGTCAGGATGACATTTCTCCGCCATGGCTCTCTTCAAGGTTAAATATTTGTTTTGGACACACAAAAATCCCACGTATATCTGTTTTTGAACAACAACCATGAGTCAGATGACATTGGGTAATTTTACTGTCAAGGTTGTGGTACATTTGGATCCATATAGGTAGGGATTTACTGTAAATACATTTCTCTGGCCACATCCTATTCATTTCTAATGGGACAGTTCTGTGTTCTTGACCAATTCCCAGTATCCCCATGTCTACTTCCTGTCAGTGTGAACTCTGCATCATTCCTGAGGAGACATTTATTCACTCAAGTTTCTGTCCAGCTAACAAGTGACAAGTACAGGTGATGGCAGTCTGTCTACTTCACTTTAATTACAGTGTTAATTTAACTCAAAACACATTGTTTATTTTAAAACTATGATTCAAGTGCCAAAAAGCCATTTTCAGAAGTAGATGTAAAGCACCACTAAAGAGCTGTTTTATGTATGAGTTGAGTCGATACTAGTAACTGTATGTCCAGCTTCACTGTTGTGCATGATTTTAAACATGCAAGACATATTCTCTTAACATTGTAAACAAATCCCTGCATCTGTCTTCCATTGCTCAGCAAGAAAAGGCAGTGATGATTATGGTGAAAGCGAACAAGCAGCCAATCTGATGGCTTTCTAAAGGCAGTGGGAATTGGTTTGGAACCAGCAGTGCCACGTTTCCAGTTGTGCCGCTCTGATCCCTGTCTGAATGGAGCTCCTGTCCATATCTGTAAATGTAAGACTTCTGTGACCTCCAATAGCCCCCAAAAACCAAACACAGAATTATTCCATCATATGTCAGTTAACAGGAGGTGAAAGAAATCAAATCTTATCGACGCTTAGCAAAACTGCTCTCCATGCTCTTTCCCAGCGCCACATCATTTTTATTCAGTCCTCCACACATTCACACTTTTCAGCTGCTCTGTTCAGACACTGCTCTTCCTCTTTCTCCTTCTGCCAGACAGTTGCTTCAGGACACAGCAGCAGCAGTTACAGGAGGGATAAACAGTACACTCTCACTTTCCTCACTCACCTTTCCCTAGCCGGCACAGTGAATCAGACTGGTGACACTGAAATAATAAGCGGGCTTCTTTAACCTCGAGGCCACTGTCCCTGTGTATCCCAGGTTGAGGAGGAGAGGTGGTGTAGCTGCCTAGCTGGACAAAGGCAGGAAGGGAGTGAGTCTGAATGAATATTTGCTAATGTTGCGTAATGCTCCATGTTCCCATGGCTGTGGCCTTCGAAGAACAGAGCAACGGCAGGCGTAGCAACAGCAACACCACGGCCAATCGCCTTCCTGGCTGATGTCAGTGCTGTTGTGCCAAGCCTCAGCACCGGTAGCACAGGGAAGGACCAGAGAGAAGGCCAGTGGAAAGTGGGATCTGGTTATGGAGCAAGGAGAGGCAGATAACAATGGGTACATTTATCCTCCCAACTACTCCGCATCACACTTTCCCTACTGCTGATCAGGAAGTACAGCTACAACACTAGGGGCACATGGGTAATGAAGGCAGCAGCAGAAGAAGAGAAGGCAGAACAGAAAGTTTTCTCACCCAGCCTCATGTCTCATGTCACTTCCCCTGTTTAACTTCATCTTGTTCTTCAGCTCTCACTGTCTTTTTTGTCACTCAGCCCCTGTTGGCTCACCCTGCTTCTTTTGCTTTGTGGTGTCCTTGACAGCAGAAGAATTGGAGGGTGATTCAGGTCCTCTGACCTTTGACACCAAGTTTCCATGGCTCTTTTCCCGTGTTCCTGCCAGGAGCAGCAGTGTTGAGGTTTTCAAAACAGACAATTTAGTCTCAAATCCTTTATGTTCCTGGTATGCATAGGCACAGCTAGCTTCAGACATATAACTGCTCAGGTTAGGATTCCCTTTTGTTTCGCAGGGAGCGAAATTTAGAGTAGTCTACTTGAGCAGCCATTTTTAGAAAAAGGTACTTGTGAAGGGACTTGTGTACTCTTTATTCTACCTGCAAATCCAGATCAAGTGGATGTTTGCATGTGCTTGTCAGGAAAACAACATCATGCTAATAATTTGGTTTGTAAAACACACACTGCCTACACCTACACAGCAGCTGAAATCACTCTTGGCAGGAACACAGTGGGCAGGTATGGCCAGGTATTGTTTGGCAAGGATGCTAAGCTTCTTGTAACAGCATTATAACCAAAACAAGAAGTTGTCGTCTGGAGAAGTCATCACACATTGAGGAATGGTTTATTTGAAACTGCTCTGTCTCCTGTACACTGCAATCAACCCTGGGTGGTGCACTGATTACTACTTCTTTATCGAGAAAAGAATGGCACATGCTCCACTTCTTGTTCATTATACTGTATGTGCTCATCCCTGCTTCAGAGTAGTCATGCATTGGTCAGAAAGAGTAACTGAAGGTATAAATATCAGAATATCATATGACACTGTGTAATACTCCTTTAGACAGTTACTGTTGAGGAAAGGAATTGAAACCACAGAATGTTTCCTGTCCTAACACATTTGCTAAAGTTCAAAATCCTTGCATGCTCTTGCATGCTTGCTACATAATGGAGAAAATGATTATTGACAGTCATCTGGGGCGTACTTGTGTATTAAAAATCTAGCAGTCTGTATTTAAATACTCTGCCAAATGGTGATGGTAAAGAAGATACCCAGTAAACCTTTGCAGTAGAGGTTCTGGTTTGGAAAACTACTGGTTCCCTCTAAAGAGCAATTGAGCAGGATAGATGCTTGTTTGCATTGGAGGCTTGAACCGGGTCTAACAGTTGAAGGACATTAGATACTATTATCAGTAAGTCTTCTCTTTGCTGTTGGGTCTTTGAGCAAACACTGATTTGCATCTAAAGGAGTGCTGTTCTAGTCCTGACCTCTGACCTCTCTGTGGAAGGGAGCAAAATAGAAGAGGATATCCCTACCAGGGGGGACACATGGGTGCAAAGAATCCTGAGTCCCATCTGATCTTATCAAGCAGGTTAAATTGTATTTGTCAACAGGTTTTGTTCCTTACATTTACAAAAACACTTCCTAGTTACAGAGAAAATCCTGAGTGACGTGACCTGTTTCTATATTACTGATTAGCCTACAGGCCAAAATAAAGACCATTTTTATTAAAAAAACAAACAAGATCCAAATTATGTAAATGCTACATTTTGTAACCCATAACGAGTCATTTTTATTTCAGCTTTTTACCACGGTAGCAAAGTTTAATGATGCAGTGTAATAAATTGCAGCAATTGGTGTTAAAACATGAAGTCTTTTAGTGGCTGTGGCCCAAGCATTCACCAGCAGCCACCAGTAAAATGCAGGTATTCAGCTACTGGTAATTAAATTCCCTGCAAGTAACCAATTGTCAAATTATTTTTATTAAATGCACGGCCATTTCTGTCACAAACAGGATGCCCAGGACATGCTGGCAGCACCTAGCCTGTGTGTAGACAACCATCATTAGTTCTCATTGGCAAGACAGATGAATGGAGAGAGACCTACCAGCCTCATGAATTTCCAGTGCGGTTCATGTTGTTATTTTCCAATGCTTTTGCTGGTGACTTTCACAGCAAGGCTTCTATTAGAAGGTTATTTGACTGACTCAGCTATGAAAACAAACAGAATATGTAGCGTTTTATACTGGGATCATTGTGAGTTATCTGTTAGCAAAAAGAGATCAGACTCTTTTTGCACTAATGCATTACTTTGCATTTGGAGGAAAAGTACTTTTCTGATGGGACATTGAAATTGTTGTTGGCAAACCTACAACCTTGATCAAGTGGTCTCGGTAGACAACAACATATGCTGACTTGTGGAGACTATTTACATAAACGCCTGAGTGGATGCATTAGGACCATTCCTTATGCTGAGTTGGAAATGGTCTAATGTGGGCCAAGTGTTGCATCGTGATACAACAGGCCAGAGTCCGTATGAGAGGTCCATAGTCTTAATTATTAGTATAGTATAGTATGTAGTATAGTATTACTTAAAAATAGAATTAATGTAGTTTAGGGTCCTCATAAGTGTGTGTGTGTGTGTGTGTGTGTGTGTGTGTGTGTGTGTGTGTGTGTGTGTGTGTGTGTGTGTGTGTGTGTGTGTGTGTGTGTGTGTGTGTGTGTGTGTGTGTGTGTGTGTGTGTGTGTGTGTGTGTGTGTGAGAGAGATTGCCTGGACAAGTCCTGTTTTATTGATTAGCTTAATGCTCACTCCGAGGTAAAAGGTCATTTTCAGAGCTGGTGTTTCCCAGCCTGCACACACAATACTTTTTCCACAGGAAATTATTGTGCTCTCATACTATTTAACTTCTGCTCTATCCCTAATGCAGAGTAGACTAAGAAGGAACCATCAGACCAATGCTTGTGAAAGTTTCTGTGTCAGTGAATTTACCTGTTCTCTACGTGACACAAAACATTTTTGGGTCATTTTTATTGTCGAATAGTTGGCTGGTAAAAGGGGGAAGTTTATAAGGTAGCTTGTACAACTTTAGCTGTTTCATTCACTATAGAAAGGATGCAGGGAAAAGATTCATGTATTTCTTGATGTTTGTGATGATGATACTATATCTGTGGTTACTTGACTTTTTCTACCCTATGTTGTATTATAATAGAGCTGGAGATGAGTGACAGAGACATACAACATTATATTGTGTAATAAATAAGGAACAATCAAGGATAACAGTAGAAACATGGCCACGTTTGGGTTGTGATTATTAGTGCTTTGGTTGTGATACTATGTGTTGTCTGATCCACAGAAAAGGAATTAAACACTAAATGTGTTGTGGAGATGGTGAAGAACCAGACGATCCTCCATCCTGCGGGAGGTAACCTGGGCAAAGGAGACTCAAGGTACGTTTATCAATAGCTTCGCTACATGCTGTGTCCACAACAACTATTTATTCTCTTCATACACATGTTTTTTTCATTAGAGGTACATTGAATTACAGTGTATCTGCAGATGCACTGTTTTCAAGCTTTCTTAAGTGTCCAAGTAATCCAGTGATAATTATCTATACATCCATGGGTACATTGCAAACATTGCCATTGTTTTCTGTCCTTACTGCGCTCCAAACCTTGGACATTTTCTTGTATCCTTCCCATATTTTCTACTGTAAAAAAAAAAAGCGTTTCTCAGATTTGTTTGGAATGTTTCTTTGTCGACATGATGTAGTTTTTGGCAGGAAGCTGACTAACCAGCTGTTGGGCCTCCTAGAGGCAGGTGTAGTTCAGCTCAAATCACTTGTCACTTATTTCCCTCTGTTGGCTTTTTCCCTGTTTCCATCCTGTTAACCAGCTGCTGTTTGTGGGCAGCACTGAATAGTCTTGAGTCTCAATTCTTGCACTGAAGGAGGCATTCGGACATATTAGATTTTTTTGCATCTGCAGCACAGAAATGTGTGACTGTGTGTGACTGTGTGTGACTGTGTGTGACTGTGTGTGACTGTGTGTGTACTGTGTGTGTGTACTGTGTGTGTACTGTGTGTGTGTGTGTGTGTGTGTGTGTGTGTGTGTGTCTGTGTGGGATTGTTGCAGTAGTGATCAGACCCAGCAACATTTTGCAAATATAACATAGAGAGAGGACAAACTGTGAATTTGAACTTCTCATCTGTAAAAGAAAAGCTTTAATAATGACCGTTAATTTAGTTATATAATGGTTCAGGATTAGCTAGTAGGTCATAATCGACTACCCACCCGCCATCTTGGAGGAAGCCAGCTGTCGGAAGAAAGATCTCCTTGTGCCTGGCGGAGCTGACTGCAGACTGCCAGATCAGAAGTGTTGAATAGCGCTGGCTTCAGGCTGAGGTGCAGGAGCAGACAACAGCAGCAGCAGCAGCGTGTGGGTGGGTGTGTGTGTTTGTGTGTCAGAGGTGCCCGAGTTGGAAGAAAGACAGCAGAAGCAAGACAGAGGCAGACAGAGACAATTATACATGAAAAGACAGACTCCACTCCACTCTCTTCCCTCACTCCGTCGGGTCGTAACTCCCCACCGCCTGGCTTCCTCCCTTTTTCTCAGCTCTTCCGTTTCCGTGGTAACACAGGGGGAGGTTAACTTTGGGTCGCTGTCTGCGACCGTGAAGCCCCTTCCTTGAGTGAGGAGACGATGGAAGAGGGGGAAAAAACCCTCATTTTCTCGAGCATCTGTCGACCATAAACTAACTTCAGTGACTTTTATGGAGGACTAAACAAGAGCAGAGCTGTAGTTTCTCTCTCAGTCTCTTGGTGACAATGGAGCGAGGAAGCAGCAGGAGGATGGGCTGACTGACTGCTGCCCTCAGCGTGCAGATGCTATTTTCATTTTGTTTGTTTTCCATTTTCCACTGTTTACATTTAAGGATTATCTTTTGCCCAGAATTTTATTTACTTGAGAAAGACTGGAGTGGGTGCATAGAGGAAGTATGGAGTAAAGTTAAGATGTTGCACTTGAATGGTGTTTTCTTAGCTAACTGTCAGGATGCCCTTTGTTTAAAGCTAGAAAGACATATCTGCAGAGTTTGACACATAAAAAAGAGAGTGGAGTTGCCTGACTGACTATATCTAAACTCTGTCTATACTTCTATGGCGTATCTGCAAAAACTAACTACAGACATTGCTATAGAAGATGCTGACAAACTGATCCGCACAATTTGTTTCCAGAATTTTCCGGTTATTAGACCAAAAAACTGACCAGACTTCTGATTGAATGATTGAATGTGAAAGATATTCTTATATAAGCACCAAGATAGCAGTCTTTTTTAGAAGAGCAGCGAGGAATGGAAGAAAAAGATTTACATTTTCAGTCTAAGACAGGAGACAGTCCATATTTTTACATGTATTATGGCTTTCTCTTTTGATCTGTTGCCATCGGACATTTGCCAGTATTGTCTGTTTTAAAGACACTTCAATTTTTGGTATTTATTGGCCTCCATTGTATCTGTGATCTAGGTCATATAATTTCCTAGATTACACAGAGCCACATCCTTCCCCCCGTCCAGGATCTGATCCTCCAGCCTCCGTCCATATTGTCTTTTATACTTTAATTTGCCTTCAATTTCATTGATCTGTATGCATCAGTACATTGATGTTTATTGCTGTCCGAACTAATAAACCGCTTGTAATTTTTACAACGATGTAAATGCGATTATATTCTTTTTTTTATTAAACCGCTACAGCACAACAATACAGCTTTTTTTGTTGACAGGGCAAAGACGAGCCTGAAATTCTAGGAAGGATATCCTTGAGTAGAGGTCATGAGACCTTGCCAAACAGATGGAGCAAATTTTCTTGGGCATGTATAGATTTGTGACCGATGTTTCACTTCAGGGTAATAACAAGATATAGCATAGGTGAACTGATGTGAAGAACACTTTGCATGTATTCTCGTTTTAACCTAGGACTGTTTTCAGTCTGAGCACCATCATCGTCTCTATTCTTAAGCAGTAAACCCATTATCTCTGCAGTCTGACATGAAGTTTTCAAAAATTTCTGCACTGGTGTCTTTGTTGGAGTTGTTGCCGAAGTTAAGGATTACTTCTGTGTAAATGTAAATGAAGGATTTTCTTTCTCTGGTCTGTCAGAAACTGCCTTCCTTCAAAGTAATTGGTAAAAGCCATACAGGTTTGAGCTGATATCTATCCACTAAATGGTTCACGGCAGCTGGGAAGTAGAAGTTTCATTTGTAAGAGTTGACTGTGTTTTTTTCTGTAGAGCTTACTTCTGGTTAGTAAGTGCATTCACACTGAGGTGTCCATTTAATTCAAATGGAAGCTGTTGTCTCTTTTACCCATCTTCCTTTTTGCATGCCTACTTACAGCAAGGCAAGTTATCCTCAGAAGGCAAAACAGCGGTTAATTACTCGTTGATTGCTAACTTAACAAATATAGCTTATTATTGACCATTTTTTGCCAGTGGTTTATGGTCATATCCTAATTGGTTTCTGTTACAGGGGGTCAGCATATAGAAAATGTAGGGGAAGGCATGCATTATCAAGGTATAACTCAATATCCTAATGTTCAGTATATTGAGTTTACATTTAGGTCTTGAAATTCCCTTACTATACTTAGAAATGACCATGTCGTCCACCCAGGCATGGGCGAGAGAAGAGGCCACCCATCACTGAAAGAAGAGAAGGCCATGTAAAGGATTGGTTAAACACTGACCCTTGAACAAGCGTGACACACAATAGACCTTGTCCACCAAATGCAGACCTACTCATCGCCTCTCTACCACATGCTGTCACATTAAAATAAGGCCTGAGTTGCAAGACAAGATTCAATCAGTGAAGAATAAAAGTATTTCTAACAAAAACAATTTTAAGTTTCTGTGCTTTACCTGATCAAAGCAAGTATTTTTAAATTCTCCACCATAAATAATTTGAAAGGACCTCATTTCAAGGTCATTTCCTTTTCTTATGTTTTTGGGGGGAAAATTTCACTCCTGAATTGTCAGTTGTGTGTTCTACTTGTGTGTTTGATTCAGTTTTTCCACCAGTAATGCACTCTGGGCAGGCCAGACTTAGGTCTCTCATGCTGGCACTGTCAGTGACTCACTGTGGTGGTGACTTGTGTTATGAAGTTTGACTTTTTTGCTCTCTTTAAGCACTGTTAATGCTATATAATGTACTAGTTCTCTGTGCTCTCTGAGAGCCACGGTTTACATAGGTTTTTTTTGCTGTCTAGTATTAGGAATCTTGCATACATTTTATTTTGTGTCCTATCTGCTTTTGTACCTGTCCTACCAATGCCCTTACCTCCAGGGTTTGAGCTGCAGAGTCACGCACTCTGTACTAGTCTGTCTGATAAGCAGACAGCTATCCTCCCTGCAGACATGTGGTCAGACACTATAGTTTGCATGATGGCCTGAGGCTGTTTGCATTGGACTGTTGAAGCTGGATGTTGACACACTCTGACAACGATCTGTCTCCTGTCAGATGTCAGTGAGGCAAACACCAAGCGGCTTGGTTTCCAAGACGATACACAAAAGAGACTGTGTGGCCTCATATCTTGGAATGATGTCGGACATTTTGTGTGTCTATGAGTGCATTTTTTTTTATTGTATGTGTCTGGTGTTATTATGTTTGTTGATAGGGGTGGGCGATATGGGCAAAAAATAATATATCGTTATTTTTGGGGATTTTGGCAATAACGATAATCAGTCGATATCCTTTAAAATGTGATTGGAATTGTCTGAGTTAGGGCTTGTGTCCACCAAACACGTTTTTAGCGCTGAGACCCAGTGGTTAACCCAGTGGTGTTAAAAGTTGAACAGATTTCTACTTGAAGCGCTCTGAGGGCTGCGCTAAAAAACAGTCTCCGCTTGTTTCGAAACCAAACCATTTCCATGCCAGAGAGGTAGACCCACGTCTCAGCACTAAATCATCTGAAGTACCGGTAGCTTCAGGGACTGGAGGTGCTTGCATTTTCTCTCTACCATCGCAACTCGCTGCAAAACTGTTGCAAGGAGGATGCTAGCGAGAGGTCATGTGATCACGTAAGCTCACTAGTCGTGTGACTGAATCCTGCCATGCTGTAGAGAGCGTTGCTGCACTGTGTATTAAGTGGATGTGAGGAGTTTCCGCGTGTGTTTCAATATTTTTGGCGAAGTAATTTAAATACTCGATGATGGAAATTTGCACATCGTCAAAACAACAATGACGATATTATCGCAAACGATATATATATCGCCCACCTCTATTTGTTAATCTCCATTTGTGGAAGTAAAGGCTCTAGAAAGGTGGTATTTGGGTGTAGGGTGAGGCGAATTGCTGGAACAGTCCTGCCTAAAAATAAAAAAGGTTTGATGGTGGGAGTTTCTAACAGTCCTCTGACATAATGATAGGGTTAGGAATTAAGGAAAGATGATATCATTCATCC